GAAATAATCGACAGTATCCAAGCAGCTGTATCAAAATGCCATTGACACTTTTCCCAGGTACAGAAAAAAAAAAAAAACTAAAATTCATAGGAAATACCAAAAAATAGCCAAAGCAATCAATCGTAAGCAAAACTACAGGTATCAGTCATTTAAGAACATACTACAAAGCTATAGGAATCAAAACAGAGTAGTAGTGTCAAATAATAAAAATAGAAAAGACAGAGCAACAGAACAAAATACACAACATACAAATAAATCCACACTCATGGGGGCCCACGAACACACAGTAAAAGGACAGATGGTACCTTAGGTAATGGCACTGGGAAAACGGTGTCCACATGCAAAGGAAGGAGACTAGGCACTACTTCATACCACGCGCAAAGCACAACTCAAATGGATTAGACTTAACCATAACCCTTGCAACTGCAAAATGACTAGAAGAAAATCTATGAGCTCTCATGACACTGAATAAGGATGTGATATGTAAGATCCCAAAGCACGGCCAAGTAAAGCAAAAACAAAGGATTACATTGAACAAAAAAACATGTCTGCACAGTTAAAGCAAACAATCAACAGAGACACGAGAACATGGAACTGGAAGATGGCTCAGTGGCTAGAACTAGCAATAGAACCTCAATTCAAATCCACAGCAGCCACCTGAAAGAGGCATAGGCCCATGTGCTTCCAGCACTGGGGTGGAGCTTACTGGGGGACAGCCTGCCTAGCTTATCTCAAAGGGGAAAGGGGTAGAAAGAGATAGAAAAAAACACGCATGTCCCTCTTTGGCCTCCATATTATACACTAGGACATATGGGGAGAGAGGTGGGGATTGGAGGATGAATACATATGCATACCAAATGCAAGTGAAAATTCCAATAACTAGTATGTTGAAAATGAAAACGTTGCATGTTGATGGAAAAGTAAGTTAGAAGAACCCGGATGAAAGCGAAAGTATCATGCAGTGATCCAGCAATCCCACACTAGTGTATATGAAGGGAGTAAACCCAATGAAACATCTGCACATTCATGTTCTTTAGCCACAATAAGATACCGATCTATGTGGCAGAAATGCACAAATCAGTCCTAATGTCTTTTGTAAAGGTAACTCTTTTTGTGCTATGGTGGGTTACACAGGAACCTTTACATTAAATGAAACCGGCACAAAAAGACAAATGCAGCGTGATCTTTTATATATAGTTCATAAAAATTGAGCTCAGAAAAGCAAAGAGTAAGAATACTGGTTAGCCGTGTGGGGTGGAAGGAAAGGAACTATTTAGAGGACACAAAGTTTGTGGAGAGGCTGCCTTAAAAGCCCTTCCCTGATAATGAGATTGATGACTACCTTGTGTGCCATCCTAGAGCCTTCATCCAGTAGCTGATGGAAGCAGAAGCAGACACCACAACTAAACACTGACCTGAACTCCTGGAATCCAGTTCAGAGAGGGAGGAGTGATGAGCAAAGGAGTCAAGACCAGGCTGGAGAAACCCACAGAAACTGCTCACCTGAACAGGGGGAGTTCATAGACCCCAGACTGACAGCTGGGAAACCAGCATAGGACCGATGCAGACCAAATGTGGGTGTCTGTTAGGAGGCCTGGGCAGGCTATGGGGCCTCTGGTAATGGATTAGTATTTATCCCTAGTACATGAATGGACTTTGGGAGCCCATCCCACATAGAGGGATACTCTCTCAGCCTAGACACATGGTGTTGTGCTTAGGCCCTGCTGCAAATGATATGACAGACTTTGATGATCCCCCATAGAAGGCCTCGCCCTTTCTATGGAGCAGAAGAGGGATGGGATGGGGGTCAGTGGGGGGCATGGGAGGATGGGATGGAGAAAGAACTGGGATCGATATGTAAAATAAGATTGTTTCTAATTTTAATTAAAAAGAGAGAGAGAAGAAAAAAAGAACACAGTGCAAAAATGGCTTAGCAATTAAGAACACTCACTGCCTGCTCTTCCAGAGAACCTGCATTCCATTCCCAGCACACACAAGGCCACCCACAACCATCTGTAGCTCTAGTGCTGGGGACTCTATGCCCTCTTTTGACCTGCTTGGGTACCAGGCATGGCATGTGGTCCACAGACATCCATACAAGCACAACACCCATAATTCCTTTTCTAAGAATAAAGTGATGGATCTATTGTATGGCATGCTTAACAGCAATGTGTCGCATTCCTGGAAATTACTACTCCACACGCAAACACGCATGCACGCACGCACATGGGGGGGGGGGAATAAACGTGCCAATCAGCTTCATTCCGCCATTCCAGTGTACACACATATCTAAGCACTGTGTTGCTTCACTCTACCAATGGACAGGCTGTATAAACAGTTCTGTAATAACTGAACCACACAGAACTAAATTAAGAGGATGACGTGATACTGGGACGAGTTAAGAGGTGGGGAATTTTGTGGCAGTAAAGGAAGTTCGCTGGGTGTTTTAACAGAGGATGACAAAAATAAGCCACAGCTTGAAATCTATTGCAGAAATACCTGATTACTGTTACTATTACTATCCCCCACTTCTCCCGATTAACTAAAGTAAATTTTATACAATCCTGTTACTAATACAATAGCTGTTACTAAGGATTAACTAAACTTTACTTATAAAATACTCCTACAACCAAACCCATACAGGACACAGCTACACATCACAAGGCATACTCCTTGACAGACCACAAACTCGAGCTGACACTTACCCATCTTCTGGAGACCAGAGCTGACTTGCCCATCTTCCAACTGTTTCTTCATTTTCCTTCCCAAGCTCTGGACTTTGTACTCCTGACAGCAACTTAAAACACTAGTTCTAAAGGAAAGGAATGGTCGACGACAAAGAACCTGGGATCACCTCCCATACTCCACATCCTTTCTATGAAATGCTAAAATCAATTTCTAATCCCTAAACTGCTACAGGATAGAAGGGGGGGGGGAATGAACACAAAGAATTTGGACGGAGATTAAACACTCATTAAAATGAAGGTGGACTGTCTCTTTCCACATAGCTAATGGGCTGGTATTACTGTTTATATCCAGAAATAACCAAATACCCAACAGAAAAACTCAAATTCTAAGTGTATGGTTTAAAACAATCTCTTTATTAATCCTGATATAGTATGACATTTTAAAGTAAGAGTAAGAAAAAGTTCTGGAAGGATTGTCACCAAAAACAAAATTGGGGAGAAGGGGTATCTTCCTTTTTGTTCCCTGAATCATTTTATTTTCTTAAATTTTATTGTTCTTTATAATAAATGTTAATCCTCAAGCAAATTCTCTTCCTATTCTCCTTTTCCACAAATTTTACCACTTTACAGGTATTGGTTAGAATGCTGGGTAAGTACTATCACGTGCCCTGGGGTTTCCTGCAAGCCATCCCAGTCATTTTCCAAGTCAGACTGTGCAACGAGGGCACCTACAATCACTTTTGCATTTCCTATTAACAAGAGTTAAAATATAACCTTTGGTGAGCCCTAGATTGAAATGAAAACTAAGCATTCAAAGCTGTCTAACAATTAGGTCTTAATAGAAAGGGAACACTATGTTGTATAAGACATCACGGTTCTTACCTTTCATTTAAAGTACTTCTCAAAATGCTACATACTTTTTTTAAAGTTAACATTCCTATGTTTGGTGAAAATTCAGCGTTTAGTTACTATGGAACTTTACAATCCCAGCAAGACAAAGATGACTCAGTCTAGTACTAAATAAAAGTAAACATAAGATTTAACCTGGTAAAAACGAGAATGTGTTCCAATCAAGAGCATACTATCTAAAAAACAGTATTGCTACCTCGTCATCCGTTTCTCATTACACTTCAGAATCCCTAACTGTGTACATTCACATAATACTACAGTCCATGAAAAGAGTATATTCTTTTATTGATTTTTTTTTGCTCATACATCTTGTTTCAACTTTCAATAGTAAAATTCAATAAATTCTATTCCTTAATCATAAAAACTTGCTGTACATATTATTTACATGTTGCCAAAATCTACAGGCATGACACACATCACAAGGACTTCACTGACACTAAGTATGGGACCATCACACAGAAGGGAGTAGCTAATTAACATACATTCAAATGGTAAATTGTAGATATGCACAGTGTATTTGGCACTGTTAATATCGTAACATTTTTATTGTCAAAAACAGGCATTCGTAAGCCTTAGTCACAATATACCAGAATTTGCTATTCACATTATAATCAGCTTTTAAACTTCAAACAGTAACCAGTCAGTTTCAAGGAGCAATACAGACTTCGGAATGGAGTTAATCGCTCCAACTTCTTTGTATGCTCCATGTCATCTGCTGAGTAGGTTCTACTTGGTGTCTTTTTCATTGTGGAGCATGTCAAGAAGAAACAACTTAAACATGTGAAGACACTAAATTCCTTGGGAGCACAAAGGAAGTTTTGATGATATCCAACTTGTGATGGCCTTGGCAGAAACTGAAGAATGACCAGTGCTGTTCAAATTGTCAGGTGGCATCAGCACTCGCCCTCAAGTGAAAAGATCCCTGGACGCCTGTATTTAAATTCAAAACCCTTAACTTGCTTAAGCAACCTTTTTCTAAGGCCAAAACAGACTTGCGTCATAGGCTATAGATTTGTTTTGTTGTGCTATACTATGAAAGAAAGTATAACTTGACGCTTCATGATTTTGGATCTATTCCAAAGGGCAATTTGGCAAACTTCATTTTAGCAAACTTTGAATTCCCTTATTTCAATTGAGCCAAATGAATTTAACTCATTAAAGCTGAGCATACCCCCCGAAGGTCCGTTTTTGTACCTACCATGCTTACAAAAGGTGTTAAACTGCCTTAAATTACCTCCCCCTGTGGAGGAATAAAACCATGGAACAGGGGAACAAAACTGGGGAATTCTCTAATAACCTTTAAATACATTATAGCTTCACATAAAATTCTGGCAATAAATTAAAACTTTAAAATTCTATACAAAAAGAAAACCTGAAGTGCAAAGTAATGTCACTGGACCAAAATTCATTTTAATCATTTTATTTCAAGTATATTTTAAAAATCATAAATGGGGTTTGTAATCCAAAGCTGAAACATGTATTCGTCAGAGTCTGACAGGTAATTCCAGACCATACTTTCCAAACCCAGGTTCTTTGCTATTTTTCAGATTTCTGAGGCCTAATATTTAAACTTCTCTATCCTAAATGTACACGACTCTTGTATACTTGCTGATAAAAGTTTTCTGAAAACTGTCCATCAAATCTAAAGAATGGTTTCCATCCAAGATTATCAGTGGGAAAACATTAAACATCGATCAAGAATACAATTCTGTCAGAAGCAGTGCTGTTCTCTAGAATACAAGAGAACACAGAAGACCGAGTTAAAGTATGCTCACAGACTTTGGTAATACAGGCTCCATCCTACTTAATCATTATGCAAAGCCATCGCTGAGATTTCCAGGAGCACTCGAGAGAGGGGCAGGTCACTTCTGAGGGAAAAAGCTGCCTTGGCTAACTTCTCTCAAATGTTTATTTTAAATAAAAGGCTAATGGATAATGGAAACATTTTCTTTAAATGGTTTGGGTACTATATAGCATACTACTCATCACACAAAGAAATCAAAACTGTCCTCTCAGGAAATTTTCCACCTTTAAGATTATCATTTATTCACTTTTCTTGGTTTTCAACCGCCTAATTCAATATTTAAATTTTTTGTATTCTGTACTTCAATGCTGTAAGATTTTGTTTTTTTCAAATGATCTTTACAACCCAGACCAGACACCAGACCAATACTCCTAAATCTCAATGCTTACTATAATGCAGAAATGAAATGGACGGAAAATTGAGGGGGCTGCCTTCGCTCTGCAGGTGAGCAAACTTTCAACATGAGCAATCCGGAATCTCCGAATGACCCTCACAATGAGGACACTTCCACAAACAAGTCAATATATTATTCTTAAAAATTAAAGTTTGGTCACTAAGAAAGACTGAACAAAAATGATCCCCTCCCACCACAAACAACTACACCAGCTCTCTCTACCCCCTCACTCCCCGCAAAAACAGAGGAGCAGCAGGAGCTGAAGCCTTTCCACCTCAAGTCTCAGTTCCTAAGACAGGGCTGCTACCTGCTTCAGCTGAAGGTCTATGGACTCATTCTCCAATGTGCCCCATTTATAAATTTATCTCCACACACACGTGCACGCACACACGCACACACTCATTCACTCTCAAGTAAGACACTTTTTTGTGTTTGTTGATAAATTATGAGGAATATGAACTAGGTGTGTACAAGGTTTTATAGGTACTTTGTAAACATCAGAGTCAATTGGGTCCTTTTCTCCATAAGCCTGAAATCCTGTTATGCAACCAGGAGCCACTACTTTCCCAGACGCTGTTCACAAGCTGCATACTGGCGAAGGGCGGAGAAAAAGTCCTCATAACTGATGTTTAGGTGAGAAGGCAAAGAGCTGGAAAGAAAACGCAAAGTGGGGGGATTAGATGATACACTATAATATGGGGGAGGAGCTATATGCAAAAGGAAGTAAGGGAAGAAAAACGTAAATTATATGCAGAACAGGCTAAGTCAGTAGTCAAACTCACTGTGAGATAGCTCAAGCAAAAATTATCACAATCTATTAACACAAAACCTATGTCACAGTTAAAAATACTGTATTAATAATGTACTCAAATCCACTTTCAGAGCTCTGCATGGTCGCACTGAAGTCAGCACTAACAGTGTGTGAAGCCGGGCTTAGCCTCTGCCAGAGCAGCACACACTTTCCACACAATGGCACAGGGGCAACCGATAACTGAATGTGCAACCCACTGCTGCCAACTACTACAGGAGCATTTACACCGTGTGTGACAGGCAGCATGAACACATGACGAGGGTACTTTAATAACTGTCAAAAACTGATACGAAAAAGCCCTCAACTTTAAACAGCTCCATGAGGTTTGGAAATTCACAAAAGTAAGGGCCAAACAAACAGATTACAAAAGCCACGTTCAGAGTTCCAGTCACATTAAATACTCACACACACACACACACTCACACATACACTCCCTCACACACATACAAACACACTCTCACACACTCTCTCACACACACATACACTCACACATACACTCCCACACACACACTCACATACACTCCCTCACACACATACAAACACTCACACACATACACACACACATACACTCACAGATACACTCATACACACACACATACACTCACTCTCACACACACACACTCACACACACATACACTCGCTCACACACTCATACACACATACACTCTCACACACATACACACTCATGCACACACACACTTAAACACACATACACATTCACACTCACACACATACACTCACATACACACATACACACTCATGCACACACACTTAAACACACACACACATACACTCACTCACACACTCACATACACACATACACTCGCTCACACACACATACACTCACACACACACTCTCTCACACGTACTCACACCTTACTTCCTTCCTCCAACTGTCAGAATTGTGAAAGTGGCCAAGTTTTCCTTCTGCTCTTTTAACATCAAATGAACACTATAATGTCCGCTATCAACCTTGTCTTACCGCCTCTATTCAAATGATACTTATGGCATTCGTGTCCCCTTACAACTCCAACATTCCCTTGCAGGGGACGGGGGAGACTGTGGCTGGGGTGTAAAATAGAGGGAGGGAGGGTCCCCATCAACATCCCTCTGTCCTCTTCCACATTTTATCAACTGCCCTATCTGCCCGTCTTCAAGCACTGTGCCACTACCCTCACTGGCTCAGAAATGGCCGAGTGCTTTTTAGCATGCTCATTTTAGGACCCAGATGCCTTATCTGACATCATGGGGCTTAGTCTGCTGGGGGAACAAAAATTCAACAAAATATGAACTGGAAGACAAATGTATAGACACAGATACAATGGACAACCTGTGAGGTGCTAGACATTTGTCACCTAAATCCTCAACTCTACACTAAAATGCCCATTTTAAAAAGTAACACATTAACTGGGTATGGTAGCACATGCCTTTAGTCCCAAAACTCGGGAGGCGGAGGCAGGAGGATCTCTGTGAGTTCAAGGCCAGCCTGGTCTACAGAACAAGTTCCAGGACAGCCAGGACTACACAGAAAAACCCTGTCTAGGGAAATTTTTTAAAAAATGAAACAAAACACCTTCTCTTTTATTCTAAATCAGGGGTCAGCAAGTAACAACCTATCTTTGTTTGTTTAACAAAGTTTCTCTTGATAGATCAGGCTTGTCCAGAACTCACCAGATAGCTCACCCTGGTCCTGTTCCTCCAGCCAAGTTAATAGTTTATTTTTATAAATAGCAGTCATATCTATTTGTTCATGCGCTGTCTATGGTTATTTCGCTGTACTTGCTGAGCTGGGCATATTTTAGTTAAATAGAAAGATACTACATGACCTGAAAGACCTAAGGTATTTATTTATTTTCTGGCCATTTTAGAAAGAGTCAGCAAACCCTGTTCTTCGTAAGTAATTTCATCGCCTTCACTGTACTCAACCCAAAATCACAGTATGGCCCTTCAATTGTCTTTTTACTTTATCCTTTCTCCAAACCAATGCTAGCCATAATAGCCAAATAAAGCTTCCAAAATCACCATTCCTGTTCTGCCTATAGGCTCCACCTGTCTCCACTCCTTACTTTATCATTAACCATCCAGACTCCGAAGCCCTTGACCACCCCTCCACCCACTTCACCCGTCCCATACCTCCAACACGACTAGTTCCCTGCGACTTCAAACATCACGAGTTTTCTTCTGCGTCCTGCTACTCACTATGTCTCCTACCATTACTATCAGTGTCATAGATATGCCTGAGTGCATTCCTACTTTTTCTTTACAACAACTTCAGCACTCAGATATTGCTTGTTCCTGATCCCCTATGATAATTAATGTCAACATCAAACATCTGCACAATCACATATTCACTGTCCACTCCATCCACAGGCCCTTGTTTTGCCTCTCAGACTAACTAAAGGAAACAGTATTGCCAATAGATCTAGTACAGCGCTGGGATCAAAGAACAAACCCAACACATTTTCAGTTACTTACACGATCTCAGTCAATCTGATTTGCCAGGGAAGAAAGCCTAATGTGCTGTCCACAGGACCAAACTTCAACACTAAATCAGGATCAGGGAAACCATGTGAGCCTTGGGAATAAAGACAAACATAAAATTAGCACAGACTATTTATACACAAAATAAGACAATTAAGTGTCTTCTTAGGGTTCCTGGTCTGTTCTCTGGAGCCTTATCTGAATGCTTTAATACATTTTAATAAAAACAAATCTTAAAAGGACAAAACTAAACTAACTAAAGAATTCTGAGGAGGCAGAGGGGGCGGATCCCTCGCTGCCCAACGGTGTGGACAGAAATGGGAACTGGAAGGTATAGGCAGGAGACAGAACAAATGCACAGTTTGCTGGCTATAATATGAAATTCAAGGGGCTTGGGGTATGCGGACCACTCAGTTATACTCATCTGAGGATACAGGCTCCATGTCTAGGCACTTAACAGGGAGGTCCTGGAAATAAAATCCTACAGCCATGAGTGAGTGGCAAACTACCCTTGTGGAGGGACAGGAAAAAAATCTAGTGTAAAGACAGGGCCAAGACGACTTGAGGAATGGTATTAACTTAAAATGCAACTTTTCGACTCCAAGCACAGATCCCTGGAGTCAGAATCTTCAGGTGTGCAAGCACAGCCAGTGTGCAAGTCCTTGGATGACTAATAACCTAGATGGATCGACATAGACTACAGCCAAGACTAAAACACACGATATGCAGCTGGGAACCCTGTGGGACCACATACAACACACTCAGAAAGACAGACGCTCCCTTTCTTCTCCTCTCATAGGTGTAACCCAGACTTAAAAGTGTGTGCACACCTCAGCTTTGCTGGGCTTTTACGTTTTTTAAGACAAGGTCACATTATGCAGCTTAGGCTGTCCTCAAACTCAAACTCAGAGATCCCCCAGTCTCTGCCTCCTGAGCACTGAGATTAAAGGCGAGCACTACCACATCTGGCTTATTTAGGTAATTTTTGTCTTTTGCTTACTTATTTTGATTTTCATTTTTTGTGTTATTAATAGGTAGATTGCTGTTTTTTTTAACTGCATGTTATTTTTTGTTTTGTTGTTGTTTTTGTCTGTTTTTAAACAGAAAGACCATAAAGTTTGGTGGGTAAAAAGGTAGGAATGATCTGGGAGGGACTAGGAGAAGGGAAAAAGCTCTCTCTTTCTCTCTCTCTCTCTCTCACACACACACACACACACACACACACACACACACACACGAAAGATATACCACTGGAGTATAGCTAAAAGAAACTACCCAAAATTATAAAGTACAACTTCTCTGTGGCTTCACAAATGTAGAGTGCAGAATTTGAAAACTGCTAAACCTAAGTTGTTCCAGCTGAACCTCTTACAAGCTTTGTGATTTTGTTTGTCTCCTTTTCCCATCTCATTGGCACAAAAATCACGATAAATAATAATGGTAATATGAGCAATATAATCTAGAGGCCCGCGTGAAGGTTGAGGCAATGCATTTAAAATACTTAAGGAAAAGCAGTATGTTATATTTATTATCATGATCACTTAACGGATAATTTCAGAATTATTCTACATTTTCTTTCAGTGGGCAAGACTAATAGTCCTATTATTCCTCCTTAAATGTGCAGTCTGTGTTTGTTCTTGTGTCTGTGTGTGAGGTGTTGAGTGCTGGCATGTGCACCTCGGCATTTGGGTGTACAGAGGACAAACTTCACCTACTGAGACTTCCTAGCCCCTTGTGCTTATGTCTCTTCATTTGATTCCCTAATATAGCCTGAAATAGTTTGCATTTTTTATTAGAACTTCATGATGTTGGCATACTGGTAATACACACTACCGTCTGTTAATTAGCTGTTAATTAGCAGATCTCAAACTGCTTGCTCACAATCATTTGTTAGCACTCTCAAATATTATTCCAAGCTATAATGAGTTTCTATTTATGTGAGTGATTATAATATAAATGAAATAGCATATTCCACTTATCCATTAAAAATATTACTCTTACTATCTTAAAATAATATTTTAACAAAATAACTACATTTTACAAAAACAAAAAAGCATGCGCGCCCATGCATGCGAGTGTGTGTGTGTGTGTGTGTGTGTGTGTGTGTGTGTGTGTGTGTGTGTGTTCAAATTGAAAAGGCTAACCCTCAAGCTTATATAAAAATACAAAGGACTGGAAGGCATCACCCTCCCTGTGGAGTTGTGAGGGGAATGTGATAGGAGGGGGGGTCGGGGAGCATGAGAGGGAGGGAGGGAGGGAAAGGAAGAGAAAGGGAACTGAGATATATATACATATATATATATATATATGTACATATATATATGTATATATATATTTATCTATTACAAAGGACAGTGACTCACCAAAAAACCTGAAAAGAAAAAGTGACTAAAGTTGTCCCTCATCTGCACGTGTGCACAGTAGCACACAAGTGCAATGCACATACGCCATAAATGAGCACATAATAAAAACAGGCAAAATATTTAAACACATACTTTACCAAGTAAATTACAATGGCCTATCAGCGCATAAAAGATAGTCAATATCATTAGCCATTAGGAAAGTATGAGTTAAATATTACCACGTAGATACTAGAGGGCTCAAACTACACTTAAAGACAAACATGAGAAAATCAACCCTGGAGAGCACTGTACTTCAGCAAGAATGAGGAGAAGACAGAGCCTTCTACCTTGCTTCCATTATTAGGTATCTATCTACCTTAGAGGAAAGAAAACACACCCTCACAAAGACGTGCACGCCAAGTGTCACAGCAACACTATCCAAAACTACAAACAAAATGTCTAGTGGCTGGTGAGTGGCTGCAATGAGTTATATCCACAGAACAGAATACTACTCAACAAAAGAATAAAGAGTACGGAAGTACTAATGCATTAACCCTAAAAGCGGGTGGATCTCTGAGTTTTGGGCCACCTGTTCCATGCAGTGCACTAACTCCAGGCCAGACATGGCTACACAGTGAGACCCTGGCGTCAGTGCGGGTGGGGAGAAGCCTGTTTTAAGGGGCTGGCCATGGGGAGTGTGGCCATGCTCCAGTGAGGGTATGGCAACACGAATTGGACTTGCTTTTTCTTCTCCTTTTTTTGAGGGGAGGTCACAAGGGTGGGGGTGGGGCAGACCTGGGAGGTCTGGGAAGTGAGTCACTGGGGTATATCATGTAAAATTCCCAAATAATCAATAAAAGCACTATGTTAGGGGACAACAAAAAGCAAAAAATGGAAAAAAAAAACAGTATTAGCTAAGATATGAAAGTCTACATATTATTTGCTTGCTTTTAATATAAAATTTCTTAAAAATGCAAAATTTAGTCAGAAAGCAAACCAGTGGTTGCCACTGGTTTGGAGAGCCGAGTAAAGTCTGAACACAGTTGGACTATGAGAGCGATGGTGTGCAGTGTGTGGTAATATTTTATCAGTTAATTAAGTTTAAAATCCACGGTAAAGATTGTAAGAGCAAGACGATCAGAGCCCCTGTTGTGAAAGTGTGTCTCCTAGCAATGTGAGAAGCTGCACCCATACAGTCTCAACAGCATAACTGCCTAAACAAGAGCCAAACAAGGGCAACAATAAAAGGCATGCTAAGTGCACAGGGAAGGGCCCGTGAGGCCTCAGCTGAGAGGAGAAATCGTCTTCCCTAGACGCAAGCACACCAACTGGGTACCCAGTACCAAACGTCAGCCCAGAAAACATACACTCAAGTGACACTACGCAGCCTGAGCAGGTCATGATTAGGAGGGGAAGGGGCCCAACAACAATAAGGGGGGAGTGCGTGCAACAAGAAATGATAAAAACAAATCCATGAATTTAAAAAACGATGTGCACGCATAATATGAAGGATTTGCAGAGAGGAAAGGGAAGGAAGAAATATCAACCTAAAAATAAATAATTTCCGAAGTCTATACACATCCTCATTATAAATTAACAAGTCCTGGAGCTCCTTGGCTCACCACTTCATCCCAATGGGACATCTGAAAGCCATCTATCTATAAGCCCCCAGGGTACCATGCAGGATATATCCATGAATTCCCAAATGTCCAAGAAATAGTAAATATCTCAGTAACTCTGGTGACATACTCCTACAATGGTCTGCCACTCCCTGAAAATGCATGATTAGCAAGTAAGGTAAATAACATTCTATGGTAATGGTAATAATTGAAAAATAAAGGTCTTGATACCGCATGATTACAAAAGCCATCCATGGACATTAATTTGTTAAATTGCCTTTTTTTTTTTTTTTTTAATGTTAAAGATAATGCTAATAAGAAGGGCCACAGAGTTAGGGCAAAACTTTCCTAAGGGCTCCAGAGAGAAACAACAAACCAAAGACATTCATCAGCAGTATGGGGTGAGGTGTGGTGCATATGTATATATCTGTGTGTGCATTTACCTGTGATGCTATATTTTAGCAAAACATGACACATACAGTGGTTCATCTGCATAGCAAACAGAATAAATACAAAAAGGAGGCCTGAATAAAAGGCTGTATTTGGGGAGTTGCCTACTAATAAAGCTCTTTAAAAAAAAAAAAAGTTATTTAAATTTATTTTATGTGAGTTGGTATAAAGGTATCAGAGTCCCTGGAGCTGGAGTTCCAGGCAGCTGTGAGCTGCCTGTGGGTGCTGGGAACTGAACCTGGGTCTTCTGGAAGAGCAGCCAGTGCTCTTAACCACTGAGCCATCTCTCCAGCCCCATCAAGTTCTTTAAGCAAAACAAAAAACTAGAAAGGAAAAAAGAGTAAAAGAGGGGCAGAAAACCAGGACTAAAACCCTACTTCCAAAAATATTCATTTAAAAGAAAAAGTCCTCAAAAACTCTTTCCCTGAACGAGCAAGGAGGCTCAGGGGGTAGAGGTGCTTCCCACCCGCCAAGCCTGGCGAGCTACTCTCATGAACTGGAAGGGAAGCAAGCCCAGAAAGCTATCCCTCACACTGTTGCCCTCATAACACCTAAATACATTGTCTGTTTGCTTGTTTAAATCCTTCCCTTTTACTAAATCTTCCTAGTAAGTGCAAGGATCAGTTCTATATCCTGAAATCATCACATGCGGGTCATTAAATGTCAGAACTGTAAGGAATACAACAATAAGAGTCTCCCCGCTCCCCCAAAGATGGTGACTCACTATTGAGCCCTGGCTAGCTAGCCTGGACCACAAAGATCTGCCTGCCTCTGCCTCCTGAATGCTGGGATTACAGGCTCGAGCCACCAGGCCAGGCGAACCAGATTGTGTAGAATGAAAAGAATCCAAATATTCTCTTTCATCTGTCTTTGGGAGACAAAATGGGAAACATTTCTGACTTACTAAGTAAGCCGTCTAGCAGATCCACATCCAAATCTGTGGGTTTCCTCTGCTGCTGAGCTACTAACTGGCAAAAGTCCTGGGCAGCTCTCACAATATCCGCTTTTCCATCTTCTGGGGACAGCACCTTCACTGCTGAAGGGCAATTTAAAACTAGAGAAAAAAACAGACAAGATAATATTTAAAAACGCACTTGTCTACTTTTATTTCAAAATCAGTTTTACGCAGAAAGTTCAGACCAAAATAAAGATACAACTGTGGTACCTAGGGACCACTCAAGCTCTTCAGCGCCAATATCCAAACCCACCTCCTATGCTCCTCTGAAAGAAGCCATGCACCCCAGGTCACAATGGTGCGTATTTTTATGTAACACGTACATAACCCCAAAAGTAGCTTTGTATAGTGAATAAAGCCTCTACAAAGGAAGATAACTACAATTTTTTCTTATCTAAAAATGCCATCTATATTCATAATAAATTTAGTAATAGCATAAAAGAAAACTTCAGTCCAAAGAAAAGTATGCGTTAGTGGAGTATGTGTGCACTGTCCAAATGCCTACCTGACTCTGGAAGCTACTTTATACTCCAGATAACAGATAATAATACAAAAGTATCACTTATAAACATTCTTTCATATTACCCTATAGAAAAACCAGTTTTGTATCAATTTATATACTCATTAAATTTACTGTTATAAATATATCTTGAGCTTCTCTGTTCACAGGGCTATAAAATTTGCATGGTTAAATAGATTCTTTAATGTGATTTTTTTTTTTACCATAATGTCAATTGCTATTGTATCATTTTCTAAATATTACCTTCTAGCAAGATCATTGACAATAAAGACTAACAGAGCAAAATAAATGAAGAATATGACAAATTCTGCCCTGAAACACAAATACATCTTCCTATGGCCATGCCCAATTGCCCACACACACTTACCTTGATCGTCTTTGTCATTACTATTTGAAAACTCTGGTGAGTATTTGGAACAATCTAGGCCCAAAAGTTCCTGCTGTTGTTTTAAAATTTCATCCATCAATCTGGAATTATTTCTCTTGAAAATACCTTAAAAAAATATGAGCAAACAGATCACAACCAGGTTAGGTGATATTCTTCAATGACTAGTGGATGTTTGCTATGGATATAATAGTAGACCCAAAACAGGACGTATTTCAAATAAAGCAGTAATGACTAATCTCCAACTAGAATCTAAAAGGAAAACATGACAGCAATGCTGGTTAATAGAAGAGTCTGGCTTCAGGCTCACACAGAAAGGAAGTCAGCTACTTGGAAGCAATGTGAACATATGAATATGACAGACTAGGACTTGGGAAGGAATTTAAGAGGGCCCTTAGTTGAAACCGTTATTTACAACCAAAGAAACTGAAATCCAGTGTCCTGAAGAGGCTGATCTAGAAATGTCTTTATTCCTGATTCCCAATCTAACATCTTTTCTCTGCAGACTTATTAGATACATTAAATGATACTGCCTCAATTGATTTGCTTTATAATGAGAGAAAGCAGCATAAATTATACACAAAGTAAAGAATAAAATAGGAGCAAAACTGTTGGGGGGCCCTGGTCAGAGGTTGCAGTCTGCCATAGCCTGGCAGCTTTCTCTAAGCTCAGCAGCATGGAGGACTCCCTTTACTTACCTCTCAGCAACACTTCCTGCTCTCTACCTGCCCTATCTGGAGAATGTCCCTAGGCCCAGAGGACTGACCTCATCTGAAAGCTGTCTCTAAGCCTGGATGCCTGAGTTATCTCTAGTGTGACCCATGGCACACTTACCTGTTAGAAGCCTCCCCTGCTGCACACATGATAACTAGGAGCTTTGCCATAGGACCCTGCTGTCACGTGTGAAGCCTAATGATAGGAGCGTGCCACTTAATGTAAATTGGTTTTTCCTATATGGTGATATTTTGTTTATGATTTAACAAATAAAGCTTGTCTGAAGGTGAGAGTGCAAAGCTAGCCACACTAGTCAACCACACGGGCCAGGCGGTGGTGGCGCACACCTTTAATCTCAGCAGCCACACTAGTCAACCACAGATAGAGGCCGGGCGGTGGTGGCGCACACCTTTGATGCCAGGAGGAGACAGGAGTGCAGTGTATTCAGTCTGCAGCCACACTGAGCACAGGAGCCCCCCCTTTTGGTCTGAGCCTTGGTAGAGCCCCTCTCCTGGGCCACAGGCTAGTCCTCTAATCAGATGCTAAGCTTCACAGTCACTAACACTGTCAGCAGATTTGGTAAGACAATTGGGAGTTCTTAAAGGAAGGAATTAGTTCAAAGAGCGTTTTTTCCCACATTAAAAATGGTAAACACTATTACAATGGAGAGAGTTAGGTCTCTACGATTATGCAATGGATGGTTTAAAACTAGAACAATTAAATGAAGGGATAATCAAGTTAACCTGCATTGACACACTGTTAATTATCATTTTGATAATCTTCGTTGTCAGTTTGGTAATTCTTGGCTTATCCCTAAAAAAGTTGGTTGATATGAGTGCCAAGATACAGGCCTTAGAAAACCTAATTAAAGCAGCTCACAGAGACATTCAAACCCAGACAGGGGAATTTAAAGGACAACCAATTGAGCATTGCATTATAAGTCTAGAGAGGAACAACCTAAGGTTACACAGACACCAGACAACAAATGATACAACTACCTGTCACAGGACTTGACAATTAACCCAAATTTCTCTTTTCAGGATTCCTTAAAGATGCCATTACTCCAGCAGAAAGTGGATTTAAGAACATGATGCTCACATTGCCAAGAGGTGGGGTAGGTGGTTTGGGGGCATTCAATTGGTTAGAAGTTGTTACTGGTAATGGTCAAGAAAAAAGCTAAACAAAGGAGATTAGATTCATGATTCTTACTTTGAAAAGAAAAAAGGGAGGTACAGATATGATAGGATAAGAGAGTAGATTATTGAATCTCCTTTTAAGCAGCAACTACTAGTTTTAAATATTTTACATTGCATTGGACTTCTATATATTATATGCAAATTTTATATATTGATACAAATTTGAGGGTAATTTGGTTAAAGCATACTACGCATACATTTCTAACCTTGTTCAAGGTATTTATTGTACCTATATAGTCCATATAATAATATACTGCAAATTTAGCCTTTGAAAGTTATTACTACCAACTAACTATATAATAATGACATGCAGGTTAGTAATTATTCACCTATTACAATTGGATTTGTAGTCATATAAGGTATATTTACAAGGTCAAACAGATGTAATTTTGAATAGACAGAACATCTTCAAACACTTCGGATATCTACAGAATATGGCATTTAAGATGCCTTAATATAGCAGGGTGTTTTCTGTTTTGTTTTATGACAATGAGACAAGTCTGCTCCTAGCAGCACCAATCTACTACAGAGAAGATGGTGGAGTTTACTTTCTTTGTGGCCAAAGTAAGCCACTGGGCCAGAAAGTGTCCTTGCCTCAAATGCTGACAGTATGTTGTCCAAATTGGACAAGCAGGACACAAAGAGAGTAACTGTCAAACCTTGCCAAGACAAGATGTGACAGTCCTTCAAACATCCTGCTTCACAGAAAAGTCTGTCAGATATGCTAGGCCGATAGGCCGAAGATGGAGGCCCCAATACTGAAGAAGAACCTGGGGGACTGTCCATGCAGTCAGCTGTTTTAGTCATTTCTCATGTTTGAGGGGGAGGGGGTTGCTTGTTCATAATTCCTGCTTAGTCGGTTAATATTATTTCCTTCTCAGGTCTCTGAAGGAGCTGAAGACTAGATAAAGTTTTCCTTGTTTACCAGACTCAGAAAAGAAACTCACTAAAGAGGTGTAAAGTGTCAAAGATTGAGAGACTGTAAAAGATAATTTGATAATGCAAATAAGAACAGAAAGTGAATTAGAAACAACCTTTTGGACTCACCATTATAGATAATGGAGTATTTTCTCTGAATATGTCAAATGCAAATGGGCTAGACATTGCTGATGTACTTATTGCCTGTATATATTGCATATAGTTTCTTATATTAGCTATAAACTTCTATTTTGTATTAGACAAAATGTGGTGATATTTTGTTTATGAATTAATAAATAAAGCTTGTCTGAAGATCAGAGTACAAAGCTAGCCATACTAGTTAGCCATAGAGGCGGGGTGGTGGTGATACACGCCTTTGATGCCAGCACTGGAGAGGAATGTAAGACGGGAGGAGAGAGGAGTCAGTCGGCAGCCACACTGAGGACAGGAGCCCCCACTGGTCTGAGCCTTGGTAGAGGTAAGAACCTTAGTTGCATGATTTGGTTCTCTATCTTCAGCTTGAACCTCAATATCTGTCTCTGGGTTTTTATTACTTGTGATACAACCCCAGAATCCCCAGCTCTGTATATTTCTTATACTCTGGAATAAAGCTGAGCTGATTTGCCAAAGCTGTCTCCAGGAGGGCTATCTCCATTGTGTCCCTAGCCATGGGAACTCTGTTCCCTGCTCCTGCGTCCTCCTCTCTCGTGAACCAATGCAGCCAATGGTCTAGAAATAGAACCATACAAAGCTTAAAAAATGTTTAAACCGGAGAACAAAAATATAATGTTTTTTGTTCTTCCAACCATGCATAGAGATTAAGGTTTTTGACCACCACAGTCCTTAGAGAAAAAAAGGAAACCATGTGGCACCCATCTAACCATCTAGCTTAAAAAGAAGAGATGAGGAGCACAGGGGAAGGGAGGAGGCAGGAAAAGAAGGGAGAGGATCAGCGGCCTGCAAACACCGCGCTGGATTCATCACATAACAGTAGTGTGGTGATATGAATGAAAATGATGCCTTCAGACTCACGGGGAGTGGCATTATTTGAAAGGAGCAGGACATGTGCCTTTGTTGGAGTAGGTGTGGCCTTGTTAGAGGAAGTGTGTGTCACTGGGGTGGACTTTGAGGTTTCAGAAGCTCAAGCCAAGCCAGGGGCTCATTCTCCTTCCTGCTGCCACTGAATCCAGATGTAGAGCTGTCAGCCACTTATCCAGCACCATGTCTGCTTTCATGCCTCCATTCATCTCTTCCCTCCAGGACAACAATGGACTAAACCTCTGAAACATAAGCCAGTCCCAATTAATGTTTTCCCTTAGAAGAGTTACTGTGGCCATGGTGTCTCTTCACAGCAAAGACAAGCAGTAATAAAAAGCAATGTCTTCCAATAGAGGGCTTATCAGAAGAAGCAAGACTTGGGTCCCACAAGATGTCTCAACAGGTAGGCAAAGGTACTTAATATGAGTTCAATCCCAAAAGCCAACATGGTAAAAAGAGTCAATTCCAACAGCTGTGTTCTGACCTCCACACACATGTCCTGGCACACATTCAAGGACAAACAACACACACTCTCTCTCTCTCTCTCTCTCTCTCTCTCTCTCATATATATATATATATATATAATATATAAATAAATAAATAAAGTGAAACAATTTTTCAAAGCAAGATTTGCACTAAGCTGAGTCTAGGAAGTTATAAAGTTACCTATAGATAGGGGAAATCTTAAGACAAAGTACAGTCTGGAATGTGCAAAATACACACAAGGGCTGTTGATGCAAATGTTATAAGAAAAGGATTGAGATAAGGCTAATTTTTATTTCATACTGCATCCGGTGTCATTTCCTTCCAGAGACCTTTCGCGGTGACCCATTCTTCCAATTCACAGGGATTTTGTTCAAATATGTTAATAAACTAGGTATTGCCCTTTTTAAAGTAGTGTTAACCAACCACCTCCACCACTAAATTCTATTCTTACTGTGAATGTCTAGCTTATTCATCTCCTTCCCAAGTCTCCTCCCATATAACAGGAATTCAGTGTTTACTTAATAAACTGACTTATCAGTGTTAAGTGCCAACTAACAACAAAACCTGAGTTTAGTTTCCAGGAAGCTCTCAAAATACAAACAGACACTTCCTGATTGCATGTAGAATTACAGGGCAGAATTGGTCGAGCCAGATTTGCACAGAGAGCCTTGCTCTAGGTTAAGCTGGGCAGAGAACAGCTAAAATAAAAGCTATGTTTCTGTCCAAGGCTTACATGAAACAGGTTACAAGGAAAAT